GCTACATTCTTGATCCATGCCTTCTTCTGCACCGGTTCTTTGTGCCTTGGCTGACGTTCTGAGAACGTATGAGGATGACAAGGGGGAGCCATGAGCCGGGGCTTCGGATCGTTATCGTACAACATCGATGCCCGCGGCTCGGCAGGCAGCTCAGGTGATTCAGGGGCGTCGGGCTCGGATTTAGGGGAAATTTGGAGAATGTGTCTAAAACGTACCGATTGTCGCTCCTTGAGTCTCGCCCGCAGCTTCTCAATCTTGTCTTCGCGCTTCTGGCTAACCTCGCTGGACTCGGCACCATCTTGCCGACCCTCCTTGGCTTCGTCAAGTTCCTTCCGAAGTTTGTCCTTCTCTAGCAGAGCGTTGATTAGTGAGCTTTGGCGGTTCTCCAAGTCAGCGCTGAGGTTCCTTATTTGCAGGCGCGCTGCCTCAAGCTCCTCCCGAACCGAGGCTGAGATGAGCTGGTCAGTGGATTTGAGGTCCTCCAGGGCAGTAACACTATCTTTAGCAACAGCAGAGAGGTCTGTCCTGGCGCTGAGGAGCTCACGATCCTTGTCGGCGAGCTGAGCTTGCACCTCTGTGAGCTTCCTCTTCTCGGCTTGAAGCTCATGAGTCATCTGGGCAACTTGAATCTTCAAGTTGGCCAACACCTCGCTAAAGTAATATTCTTGCGTTAGCACTCGTTCCAGGCCAAGTGGGATAAGCATATTAACGAATTCGACTGACTTTTCGCCGCCGCCGCCAATCAAAGCGCTGACTTGGGCCTCTGCGAGCTGGTGCTTTTCAAACGTCTCGTTGTACGTGCTTTGGAGACGCTCCCGCTGTCGTCGTTCGTCCTCGAGCTCTTGTCGCAACCGAGCATTTTCTGAAGCGGAGCCCATGCCGCTACGGAGCAAGTTGTTCTCAGCCTTAAGTCGAGAGACCTCAAGGCTTAGGTTGGGAGGAGCACTGCTGCCAGCACTGTCAAGCTCCTGCTCCAGGCTGAACCCAGCAGAAGCTGCGTCTGGTGACATGGCTGATGAGCCAGCCCCAGTGGCAATCTGCTCCTGCAGCTCAGAAATGAGGCGCTCATCTGAAAGACGCTGAGCGTCAAGAGACTGAAGGCGAGCCCTCAGCTGCATGGTGTCATCGTGAAGCGCCCTTCGCTGGGCATCCAGCTCGACGTACTGCAGCTCGTAGTCTCTGAGCTTCGAAGCGTACTGCTCATTAGTCTGTTCCAGCGCCTGATTCCTCTTTAGAACCTTCTCGTATTCAATGAGGTCACGCTGCATCTGCTCCTTCTCGTAAAGCAGGTTGTCCATCTCTTTCGACAAGGTGGATTGGGCCTCGAGCTTCTGCTTGTACCGCTCCACCATGTTTGCCTTGCGGGACAGCTCTTCATTCTTGAAGCGCAATTCCTTCACTTCATCATCGAGAGCCTCGAGCTTCTGAGTCTTGGCCTTGAGCGCGGAGACCTCGCTTTGCAGCCGCTCTTTTGCGATACGATCGTCCTCAGCCTGAGCCTCCTGGTTGGCGATGAGCTCATCCTGCTCACGCAGCTTCAACTCAAGCGACCTGATGACCTCCTTTCCGGCACCATCTTGAGCGCTGTGGAATGCTTCCAGCTCCCTTCCCTTTGCGACGACCTCGTCCTTTAGATCGTCATAGCTCTCCTGCAGATGGCCCAAGCGTGTCTCCATGTCTGCGAGGAGCTTTCCTCTTTTGTCTAGTTCGGAACGAAGACGTATGTTGTCAGCCTCCATCGCAAGGTCGGCATCGTGGCCCTCGTGGGTGGCGTCGGAAGTGTCGTCGAGGTCTGCTGCGTCAGCTTCTTCCATGGCTTGCTTCATGTCCTGAGTGATTCGCTGGAGCTGCATGAGGACCGACTTGTCGGAGATGTCCTTGGTAATGCGCATGACGTATCGTTCGTTGTTACTCCCGAGCATCGCGATTGCAAAGAGAACGGCAATGAGCTGTGTGAATTTTCGAATTAGCGGATCCATGGGCCGAAAGAGAACGACAGTGTCCGTCATGATGATAGGTACCTGGGCGATAGCTTCTGGCTGCGCTTCTCTGGCTCTGGGTCGAATGTCCGCAGACTTCACCTTGCCCACGAGCCCGGGGCACTCGCGATAGACCAGCCTATGGATGCCCTTGTAGACATTGTAGAGGGGGCCTTCGCTGGTATTTGCGTCGAAGGAAGGATCGAGGTCCTGCAGGACCTGAGAGAGTAGGATTCCATCGAGATAATCGTTTATTGAGTCAGCCTTCTTGTCGAGTGGAAACGTGTTCGCCTAAAGACACCAAAAGTTAGCATTCTACTCTCTTAGGACCTGAGCTGAGGTCTGCGCCTGGCTAAGGAGGTGAAGTTTCCACATTAACGGCGATCCATATTGACCGATGACTTACCCATTGGACCAGCGCGGCCTGCGCGCTCTCTGAATACGGCATGATGCTGCCCGTCTATCGCGTCGTGACTTCGTGGTAGTCGTCGTCGTGTGTCGTCTTCTCCGTCGGTCTTTGTCAAAATGGCAGCCCTCACCTCGGATTTTGAGCAGCACGTGGGAAAGAGGCCGGGTTGGGTTCGGGTTCCACTAGGTTCGTCGTGGTGTTCGTGCTTGGCAAGTCAAAGCGGCAGGGTATGTTGTATTGTGGTTCCATGTGCTCGGAAAGCTCGCATCGCATATAGGCAAGGTAGTCGGACGGGATCAGACACCTAGGGAGAGTGCGGGAGAGAGAAGATAAGGTGTATTAAAGAGGGTTTCGACAAAACCTCGTGTCGTCAATCGAGGAAGGGCGGTGAAAGGCAAAAAATTGGGAGGAAGCCTTGTTCGCGCACAGGTGGTGGTTGAAAGGGACCTGCAAGTGCTCCTCAGTGCAGCAGGGAAGGGGAGAGGAAAGGGAAAAGTGTCTCATCGTCCCAAGACAGACGCATTGTTCAAGTCCAATGCTCCTGCTTCCTGCCTCTCTTCTATCGAATCCACTTCAATCTTGCATGACTGACTTGCATCGTACATAGCTCCTCCTCCCCTTATCGATTACCAAAGGCAGCTAGCTAGGCTAGGGGAAGTCTAGTCGAGGCACCTTGCCGCGACGTGCGCGCCTAGCAGCTTTAGCATCAGCGTTGTGATGTGTACCAGCCTGCCGCTTATTTCGAGTTGAGGTACCTGATTTCTCTTCCCCAGGTGAGGTAAACTAAAAGTACCTCAATCGCTCAGGTGGGATCACTCAGTGAAAACCACTGCCGTCCGACAGGTACATCCTTACATTAAGGCACCTCCCGCCCCCAAGCCCGAAACTCCAAGTGACGCGAAGCGGGACGGATGTCCAGGGGCCCTGATGCTATAGTGGGGCGGCCGGTTCTCGAGGCCACTGACAGCGCCGTGTTTCCCTCTTTGACCCTTTGGCCATAGTGGGAGACCAGCCAAACACAAGCCTCAACGGCTAGCCTTTGAGTCTCCAGTGATTTCTGCATGAGATTCCAGCTTGATCCTGCCGGGTTTTCCTTTCTACGAGGGTGTCCTCCGAGTGCCTTGTAGAGAGCCTTTTGACCATCTGCAAGTCTGCGAGCAAACAATCAACATGACACGGTCACACAGGGCCTGCTGGTCGGCATACCGTCATTGTCCCAGACCTCCCTTGTGATGAACAGTAGATAGCGGGTTTCTTCTAAACAATACCGAACACGGATCAAACAGCTCTATTTCCGTAGACTTAAAACCCGTCACTCGCTAGAGCACAGACTCGTCCTGGATGTCCCTTGAGTGTTGCCTTGGCCAACCCCTCCAATATCGCTCCCAGCGTTCCAGTCGCAATCGCCCTCTCTCTTGGTTCTCAGATCCTCACGCCTAGATTGCCCACTTGGACAGCTCCGTAGACGCTTGGGAACGTTGGTTCGGCATGGTCGCTGCCGTAGGGTTGCTTTGGGCGTATTGTCTCCCGCTCAGCATAGACACAACCCGACGGCACTCTCCTCTTGCTTCCAAAAACCCTCGCATTCTCTTCATCGCGATTCTTGAAATCGCATCTTCCCCAAAGTGACACTGGCGTCTGGAGCGTGGCTTGCCAATGATTCCCCCACAGCGCGCTTTGACTCATCTGTGACATGACCTTGTATTCTTCATCAGGAGTCCACATGCCCAAATGGCAAACTGTCCGAGGAACATTAGAAACACCGGCCTTCGTCCCACAGAGTACCCCCTAATGATACAGCATGCCGCACTCTTCTTCAGCTGCTGAGCTGCACACTGGACGAGGGCACGAGAGAGCACTCTGGACGATACGTAAGCCTGGAAGAAGGGAAATTGCGCCGCATGGTGACATATCCATTTCTCATCAAGTTCAATGGGGATTCTGGACCGTCCAGTGGGGAAGCTGGGACCTGCAGGAAATCCGCTTTTGATCTGCGAATCTGCGCCGCACACGATTCGCTCTCCACTCCTCAGGCACATCGTCTCCTGTTTGGACTGTCACCGGGAGGCTGAAGGAGTTCCCGTACATAAGGCTTGCTGTTGACGTCGCTCGCCATGTGGTTCTCAGCCGCATCCGTCCTGTCTTCGGCAACTGTTCATCCACCGGGCCGCCATGACGTTGGTCTTGTCGCTATTGGCGAGATCCTACATTCCATTCACTCTTGGGACCAGCTGTGGCCGATTCAGGCAAAGCGTATGCATAGTATTGATTTTTTGGTTTGGGGCATTGGGTAGGATTCAGCTACTGGCGGTCTGAACCCGTCTCCTGGCCCTATTTGATACTAATGGCGTCCGGAGACGCTTTATAAAGGGCGGGAAACTCCTGACTCCGTAGCAAAAACCCGTCTATGACGAAAATGTGGGATAAAAAAGTGCCTCCTTGCTTGTCCCTGTCGCAGCCGCCGGGAAGGGGGCGGATATCATTTGCCCTCGTGACCTAGTCCAGCCATAGTCAAAGTCCTTTTTACTGGTCAAATCTTTCACACAATAATCGTATCGCAAGTCGTATCATCGGCGTTGGCATCTTGAGTTTGATGAGGCGACACGTTGAGCTTAGCCGCTGACAATCTGATCCTCGTCGACGTTCATGTCATCGCCGCCAAAAGCCTTGATGTCGTCGAGGGCCTTGGCTGGCGCAATCGCAGCAAAACCCCTGCACAGGAGAATCAGCATGGAACACGGGTCACAGCAGACCGCGCCTTGAGGTCTCTAATGAGTCTTACCTGAAGTTATCGAGCATGTTGTAGGTGTGGGTGATTTGTCCCTGAGCCTCGACAATGGCGGCCTTGGCACGATCGATCATGTCCTGGGTGACGGACTTCTTGTCGGTCCAGATGATGACGGACTTCATCTGGTCGACGGCGACGACGCCGGAGGCGACGGTGAGGACGGCGGTCAGGAAGGCGGAAAATCTCATCGTGACGGGTAGAGGTCGACGGTCGTCGGAGTCAAAGGTGTTTGGTGTTGAGCGCTTTAGAGTTGAAAAGTGGGCGGGTAGTTCGGGCAGCGCAGTCAGAGCGACTTTGTATCGACCGATTTCGAGGGGGGAGTTGCACGAACAGGCGGAAATGGCGAGGGCTCTTCGTATTATGCGGTAAATGAAGCCACCAAGGGTCTGCTGGCAGCTGGGTGGGGGATTCGCGGGTGTTAAATGGTTGTTTGCTGGGGACGGAGACGGAGATGGAGCGAGGCGAGTAGTGTAAGGGTGGATGCAAGAAACAAGTTCGACAATGCAGTTCCTGGGTACAGGTAAGGAGGAAGGGCAGCAATGTCTCCTGCTTGGACAGTACGGTCCGGTGGCGGAATTCTGTTTGTTACTGGCCGAGCTGCTTGATGAGTAAAGACACTTCATCGCTGCAGTAGGCCACTAGCAGCCAACCTCGTTCTCCCACAGGTACCACCTGCCCTGAGAGGTGCAGTGGGTGCGGCGTCATTGGTTCTGGACGTGCCCATCACACTGCACTGAGAGTGGGTGGAGCCGGCAGTGATGGGACAACCCGTCCACACCGTGCTCTAGGGGGAGGGGAATGGGGGGGCCAGGGTGCCAGATTGCATGACCATCTGCCCCCAAACACTGCGAACCACCTCTTGGCAGTTCCGTCCACTCCAACACTTCCGCTTGAGTCACGTGTAGACGGTTTCGTTCGAGGTTTGCATGTTCCAGTATCCTGCTACCCCCTACCATCACATTGGGCGCATATTTATGTACTGTGGATTTAGCCGCTGGCTGAGCATAGGGACGCAAACGATTGCGATTCATTACCAGTACAACTGCCCTGCTGCTGGCTCTCCAAGTAGTGTGCATTTGACTCCTCAACGCCGATTCGTGTCCTTTGACAAACTCCAAGCCGTCCAAGTAACCTCCCAAAACAAGTTGTTGGTGCAATCCGTATGCAAGATACTGTGTTACTGGGAGCACCAGATCGCTTGCGAAACCCATGGAGGCCTCTATCCCTTTGCACTACCGGTCGTGCTGTCGTTCTCGGCCCAGATGTCCTTAGTCTCCTGCTCGACAGCCCGCATGGCAACGGCAACATCCTCAAGCTTGGCCACGACATCCAACACGCCCTGGTTGACTCGCTGGAAGTAGCGGTCGTTGGCCTCCCGTCTCTTCCGAGCAAGCAGAATGTCCACTTCCGTCTCTTGCTCAAGCTTCGCTCCGAGACGCTCCGTTCCCCCACTGCTTCCCGGTCGAGTGCTACCGGTCCCCGTACTTCGCGGTCCGTCACCGCCATCCGACCCCATGCCTGTCTCTCCGAGAACGGCACTCTTCAAGTTGCGAACTTCTTCCCCTGCCGCGGACGCGTTGGATCGCTGTCCCGTCTCAATTGCCTCGTCGGCCTCGCTGCGCGCCCAGGCTTGGGCCAGAGCAATCTGAGCGGCTCGCAGCTCCTCCAGCTTGCGGTCGTGGTCCGGTCCAAAAACATGAGTTCCGCCGGATGCAGACAGCTCGACCTCCTCCAATGTTGCCTGCATCTCAGCCCACAAGGCGTCTGTCCTGTCGGTACTGCGAGCACTGTCTGCCGTTTTGAGGTTACGGCCAGCCGGCCTGGCGACGGACGGCGTGACCACTGAGCCAGTGTGAAGAGATCCGTTGCGTTGCAGGCTCATGACTTGGGGCGGTAACGGTGGGACGCCTGTAGACGTAGTTGCTGCCGGCGCACCTGGCGCGAGGATGCCTGGGAGCGATGCATGAGAGGCAGCTGGGGAGGGATGGAGGAAGAGGGATGGCGGGGGATCCCGCTGCTTTCCTTTGCTTTTGGCCGATTGAGACATGCCTACATTTTGCGTGTCGTCGTGAACATTCCACGCTCTGGACTTCGCGCCTGAGACAGCATCTCTTGAACCTGACGGCATCTGATCGGATTGGTTGAGAGACGGGTAAGTTGCGGACCTGGGGGCACCCTAGTCAAGCCTGCAGAGACGTGGGGTTCGTCGATTGAGGTGACCTGGCCGATGCATGATTGGACCAAAGAAGTGGCTCGTTCAGCCAACACCAGCCACTCGGCTCGCTCGAAGCTCAGACCACCTTACACGTGACTGCAACTTTTTGCGGTTCGTCGACTGACTCTAGGGCCACCAAACCCTACGAAAATTCCCTTGGGCCAGCTCAGTTGGGTCAGGTCAACTTTTTCGACGTACGCAGGCCCATATCGTCACCACCAAGTCAAGACTCGCGATACCCCCAAACAAATCGGTACGTTCGCCATCATATCCAAGCCCTTCGCATCCGTTGCCGACGAATCCCAATCAACCGACGACGACGAATTTCCCGAACCCACGCCATTTTTATAAACCTCTTGTACAGAACTTCTGAACTGACGATTTGATCTTGAAGCAACCATGCCTCGTGGACTCAACGCCGCGCGCAAGCTGCGCCTTAACCGCAAGGACCAGAAGTGGGCCGATCTTGGATACAAGAAGCGTGCTCTGGGTACCGCCTTCAAGTCCTCTCCCTTCGGTGGTTCCTCCCACGCCAAGGGCATCGTCCTCGAGAAGGTCGGTGTCGAGGCTAAGCAGCCCAACTCCGCTATCCGAAAGTGCGTTCGTGTTCAGTTGATCAAGAACGGCAAGAAGGTCACTGCTTTCGGTACGATACCCCACCCCGTTACTGTTGGATGCGATTGGAGGAAAAGATGCAGTGGACAATGTCTTCGCACACCGAGAAGACCATGTGGTAGAGAGGTCAAATTGCTGACATTCAATTCTTTAACAGTCCCCAACGACGGTTGCTTGAACTTCGTTGACGAGAACGACGAGGTCCTCCTGGCTGGTTTCGGTCGCAAGGGCAAGGCCAAGGGTGATATTCCCGGTGTTCGTTTCAAGGTCGTCAAGGTCTCTGGTGTCGGCCTGCTCGCCCTGTGGAAGGAGAAGAAGGAGAAGCCCAGATCTTAAGCGTTCGGCACGACAATTTGGGAGGCAGTGGAAGAAAATTCGGCACTCGGAGTTTACGCTTGCATTGGCATCACACGGTTATGGATGGTCCTGACTACTACTGCGGGGTAGACTTTGGTCGATGAAATAAAACATCATGAAAGTCACCAAAACGGACATGAGGCATTGCATCATCTACGCAAGACACAAAAATGGGGTTGCGGGCGTGATGAAAAGGGTATTCCGATTTCTATGTGCTATGAATACAGGCAATGTTGGTACACGTTACTACGCTACGATCTCCTGGTCCTCCACTTTTTCGCCTTGAATATATCGTGCAATGTAGTCGGCAAAGAGACCGATGCTAATCGCGCCGCCTGTGAGCCAGCAGCCATTGCAGAACCACCACCAACAGTCCTTGACGCTCTTGAGGTTGACGCGCTTGATCATGATGCCAAGCGTTAGTGCAGCACCTCCACAGCTTCCGATGTAGAAGAGAGGTCCGGCACCAGCAGCGAAGCCCGCCATGCCCAAAAGACCGATCTGGACTGCCGCCAGGCCGGTCAGAACCTGCTTCGTTTCGGCGTCATGTTTCAGTGCGATACTCTTGATACCCGCCTTGGCATCATCCTTGATATCTTGGTGGGCGTAGATCATGTCGTACAGCACCGTCCAGGCAACATTTGAAGAGTAAAGACAAGCGGCAGCTGTCAATGCTGCGCTGTTAGAGAGTAGGTCGATACCGAGGGCCGGGAACCCCATCATTGCTCCCCAGGAGAACGTCAGTCCGAGGACGGCCTGGGGATAGTACGTGACGCGCTTGGCGAGAGGGTATGAGGCAACAAAGAGCAGGCTTGGAATGCCGTAGAACAGGCAGGCAGTTGGAAACTGTACCAAGACTACCAGCCCAGCCAGAAGCTGAGCACCAGTGAAGACAAGTCCTTGGAAAGGAGTGACGGCGCCCCGCGCAATGGGTCGAAACTTGGTTCTCGTGACGTGGGGATCAAGGTTGCGGTCCCAAAGATCATTGATAGTACAGCCTGCGCCACGCATGATAAGAGCGCCCGAGGCGAAGAGGAGAGAGGTTCCAATCACTGTGCCGGGAGTTGCCATGGCCATCGGCGCCGCCATGAGTGTCGAGAAGACGCATGGAAAGAAGAGATAGTACGTTCCTACAGGCTTGTCGATTCGGACAAGCTCGGCGTAAGGGACCCATGATGCAGGCAGGTAGGAAAGGAGCCCAGTCGTGGGCGGTGTGTAGACAGGCTCAGCAGGGCCTGTTACGGCAGCAGCAGCATCTTGCGTCACCGCGGCCGTGAGACACTTCGTAGATGTGTGAAGCGCTGTCTGCTGTTGGCGGACTGAGCTCCGGACGATGAGGCTCGTGGTAGGCTTTTTATGCGCTTGAAGTCCAAGCCGCGACGAGCATCTTATGGGCAAGAGTGCCGATGTCCGTAGTGAGGGCTTACATGCCGTCCGTAAGGAGCCGCTCAGAATGCTGACTTGCCTCATCTTTATGGACTGGAAAACGTCAGTATTAAGTTTTGACAAGGGGGTAATGTGCCTCGTCGACTCCTATCGGACATCACGAAAACAAGATTGATGGCTACATTGCAACGCCACAACGAAATGAGGGTATGCGTTACATTAAAAGAATTGATGCAAATATTAAAAAAGCCGTACATCAATCATGGACAAGCTGGACGGCGCATGTGTCGAGTCAAAGGCCGAGCAGTTTCTCATGAGCCTTGCTCATGGGAGACGGTTACGCTTACACGTTTGAATGTAACAACGTCAATCACCGGACGAAATGCCACTTGCACTCTCATGACGTACGAAATTAAGCAATCCAGAGGAGAAACGCATAGAAATGAAAACAACTCACCGAATACCAGAAACAAGTCTCGCGTTCCACCTACCCTCACTTTTTCCACCGAAGAAACCGAATTTTGGAAGCTCCCAGTCAAAGACCCTTCAAAGAGCTGGGTGTGGTCCGTGCTCCCGCCTACCTTTTGATTGGGCGCGCATTTGAGTTTCCTCCCATCTACCTAGGTAAGTTTGGATAGCCTTGTCCGACGCCACTTTCCGTCTTCTCGCGACATGCCTGGGCGCCATTACGATTGCCTCGTGTCACTTGCGCCTGCCATCACCCACGACGTGCACCATAGCTTCTTGACACGCCGAAAGAAAATCGAACTCACTCATTGCCTACGACTTCACCGAGGGCATTTTGCACACCGTGCAGCCCGAATGACTTCATAAAAGACGCGTCTCGGAAGGTACCCCACCTGGCGCGGTAGTCCTCGATTGTCAAGATGCCGACCGCTCTGCATCCCCAGGCGAAGTTCGATCCGATCTCGCCGGACCTGGATATTCATAGCCTTGTCGACAAGACGCCTAACTTTGAATGGGTACTTCGGATCTCGACGGCACAGATCCAAGGCCTGGGTCCCCAAGAGTTTGAGAAGTTGGTGCAACTTCAGGTCATACAGGGTGGAAAACCTTTGGTCATTGAAAAATGGAACGATGTTCTCCCGAAATGGCTTTTTGGCGGCGAATGGCTTGAGAAGACCTACGACAAGAAACGTCAGTCTACACGCCTCCATACGACATCGAGTGCTAACGTGTTTGCAGAGGAAAATGTCCGTGATATTGGCAGCCAAAGCGAGATTCCGATGACCATGGGGCACTATCTGAGAGCGATGAGGCAGCTCACGAATCAGTGGACGCCGAACAACTTCCGCGACGAGCGACGCCAGCGACTTTACCTCAAAGATATCGACTGCCCACCTGAGTGGCACGAGCACCTTCAAAAGGTGATTCCCCCGAACCTATTTTACATGAACGAAAACATCACAGAGAAGGGAGGGTCGGATAATCGGGTCAGCGATGTTTTCCGTGGCTTGGGCGAGAAGACGATCGCTTCCGCCGGAGATCTGATGTCAAGCCTGCCGGGAGAAATGCGGGCTCAGAACCTCATGTGCTACATCGGCCACGAGGGAACATACACCCCCGCGCATCGCGAGATGTGCGCAAGTTTGGGACAGAACATCATGGTGGAGGCGTCAGGAAGTGAAAACGGAGAGAAGCCAGGCAGCTCCATTTGGTTCATGACGGAAACCAAGGATCGAGAAGTTGTCCGCGAATACTTTCTCTCCATGCTGGGACACGACATTGAGATTGAGAAGCACTTCGCACAGATCAACGCCTGGAAGAAGGCGACCTTCCCAGTCTACATCGTTGAGCAGAAGCCTGGCGACTTCATCCTTATCCCACCTCTGGCACCTCATCAAGTCTGGAACAGAGGTACACGTACCATGAAAGTCGCCTGGAACCGGACGACAGTTGAGACGCTGGATATGGCACTCCACGAAGCTCTTCCCAAGGCTCGTCTAGTCTGCCGTGATGAGCAGTACAAGAACAAGGCGATAATCTACTACACCCTAAAAAAGTATTACGCGCAGATGTTGCAGGCGGAAGATAACAGCGAGATGGGTATCCTTGGACTAGGCTCTGAACTCTTCCGCTCATCTTCACGGTTCAAGCAGCTCGCCAAGGATTTCCGACATCTGTTCTCCCTTTTCACCGAGATTCTTGTCGACGAGATGTTTGCAACCAAGGAAAACAACATCGAGTTCGTCGAGTATGATTCATGCGTCACCTGCTCATATTGCAGATCAAATATTTTCAACAGATTTTTGACATGCAAGCATTGCGTGCGAACTCTTGTTAATGGCGATGAGGATGCATACGATGTTTGCATGGAATGCTACGCCATGGGACGATCTTGCCTCTGCGTCTCCAAGCTGCAGTGGTGTGAGCAGTGGAAATGGTCAGAGCTCACTGAGAACTATGAGCTCTGGCGCTCAATGGTCATCAAAAATGATGGCTTCGTTGACTTGGAGCTGTCTCCGCAACCTCTCGAGATTGCCCGTAGCCGACGTGGCAAGAAAGCGCTCGCCCAGATTTGCCAGGAGGGCTTGCGCCGACGACCATTCAAGGACATTTCCAAGATCGAGGAGGAGAAGCGCCTGTCCGAGTCCGAAGATGAGCCGGATCTCGATGACAATGGAAAGCCGAAGAAGAAGAAGTATAAGCGAAAGAAGAAGCAGGGAGATCTTCGCCGTTGCCACGTCTGTTGTCACAAGGATTATGCCTACAAGGTCCAGATGTGCTCCAATCCAGAGTGCAAGGAAGGATTCTGTTACGGGGTTCTCTACCGCGCCTTCGACATGATGCCCCAAACGGTGCAAGAGAACGAGAATTGGCTCTGCCCAAGATGCTTGGGCATTTGCAACTGCGGCGCGTGCCGTCGTGCTGGGACGACCAAGCCGTACACGCCAAAGAACACTCTCCTCGGCCATGACACACGACCAATCGCTGACGACCGAAGCGTTGAAGCGCTTGTCGATTTCCGCGTGCACAACTTGAACTGGCTGAAGGCGTCAGGCGAAGAGGGCCGAAGTACGAACAGCAAGCGCATGAAGCAATTACGAGAACAAGCCGACACTGCCAAAGCCCAGGAGCCGGCAGCTGCTGCAGCCGAGGATATTGCGAACGGCGCCAATTCGGCATCGAACGGTGCGAATGGTTATGGAGATCAGAGCCATATCCTCGACGGACACGATATGCAGCAACTTAATGGCGAAAATGGCTTTAACGGCGATGTCGACATGTCTCAGCAACATGAACAGCCCGTACCGTTCGCCGACATGGGTATGAATGGCAACTGGGACCAGTCGGCTTACCCAGACCCCATGGGAATGGGCGGTCAACGCATGCTTGGCATGGGTTATTACGAGCCATCCGGGCCTGACCAGATTTTGTTTGATCCGTTTCAAATGCCTTCAGCCGACGCTATGGTCTTCGATGAGGAGGCTGAATTCCTCAAGAAGACCCTTAAAGCTGCCAAGAGGAAAGCGAAGCACGAGAACGATCTTGATCCGGACTTCAATGCGCCACGCAATCACCACAGAAAGAAGCCGAAGAAGGACAACGTAACAGACGAGTCTGCCATGGAC